ACTGATAGAAGAGAACACTCTCAAACTAGGATTTCTGTGCATGAAATGCTTAGAAATATGAAAAGTCACAAGGAATAAGTTTCAGTGTGTCCATGGGAGAATGTATTGAAATGAAAATTTAATGTGTCATTGAAGAAAGATAAGATGAATGAAAATGAGGTAAATAACAGAAGACACCAAAAAAGTCAGAGAGAAAGTGGTTGAAATGGAAGACAGGCAAAGAAGATCCAACATGAATGTAATGGGAATCTCTAAAAATAAAAAAATTATTGAACCAAACAAATATTCAAAGGTGTAATCCAAGAAAACTTTCCAGAAATAAGAGGAAACCTAGATGAACATATCAAGAGGGCCCACTGTGTCCCTGGGAAAGTTGACTCAGATGATCAACCCCAAGACATATCATAGTAAAGCTGTTAGACTTATAGACAAAGACAAAATCCCTAGGAACTTCAGCCAAAAGAATAACTTAATGAAAATTAGTCTGGCATTTGGCTTCTCAAGAGTAGCATACAAAAGCAAGGCAAGAGTGAAACACAGTTTTGAGAAACTCAATAATAGAAAGTATGAGTCAAGGATTTTATACCTAGTTGTTCTTCAGTATCTGGGCTATAGAAAAACAGCTTGAAACAAGTAAAAACTCAGGGAATACTGTGCTCAGGAGTCCTTCCTGAGGAATCTGCTAGAGCAATGGTTCTCAAAGTGTGGTCCCAGACCAGCAACATTAGCATCTCATAGGAACTTGTTAGTAATGCATGTTCTCAGGCCCTCCCCAGACCTACTGAATCAGAAATTTGGGGGTGGAGTACATCAATTTGTGTTTTAGCAAGCAAGCAAGCCCTGCAGGTTATTCTGATGTAGAGTCTTTAAGAGGATCAACTTCTTCCAGCCAAGGGTTGTTTGGGAAATCTTTGGCAGAGAACTGGTAGTGAATATTGATATTGATTGTATCTACAAGTCTGAGACATAAGTACAGACATGATCAGAAGAACAGTATGTAAAGCATCATATGTATTGTCAAAGTAGAAAGAATACAACTAAAAAATGAGAGAATAAGGGGTAAAGACAGGAGAAAGTAGAATAAGATCATTAATTATTGTAATAGGTGGAAGTCAGAGGATGACACTTAAAACTGCCAAACAAGATAGTAAAAAAAAAATAAGTAAAAAATATAAAATAAAAAAGAGGACTAAGGAGATCATAAAAGTTATAATGGCAAAGGTAACCAGTAGAACAACTTAATTAAATGTGTTATGTGGGGCTGACCCCGTGGTGCACTCAGGAGAGTGCAGCGCTAGGAGCGCCGCGACGCTCCCGCCGCGGGTTCGGATCCTATATAGGGATGGCCGGTGTGCTCACTGGCTGAGCGCAGTGGGGGCGACACCAAGCCAAGGGTTGCAATCCCCTTACCGGTCACGAAAATGACAAAAAAAAAAAGTGTTATGTGATCCTGGACTGAAAAAAAAATTGCTTAAGAGGACTTTATTGCTACCTTTCATGAAAGTGGAGTATGGAATGTAGATAAATAAAAGTATTGCATCAATGTTAAACAGCCTTAAATTGATAACTGTAATGTGCATATTCAAGAGAATATTATTCTTCTTAGGAAATACATGCTGATAATAGGACAAAGTGTGTAACTTACTCTCCAGTAGTTCATAAAAAATGATATATATTTGAGAGAGAAAAAGCAAATGTGGGAAATGTTAAAAATTAGTGAGTCCATACAGAATGTATAGGAATTTTTTTGTACCATTCTTGAAAATTTAATGTAAGTTTGAAACTATTCCAAAATAAAAGGGTATGAATTATATATCAGTCATTCCCAACTAGATCTTTTAATTATTTTAGTTCCCTGTTGTGTAGGTTTGTTATGTATTTGGATGGAACAAACTTTCATTTGTTTAAAATATTCTGTACTTCAGACCTTACTAGTGCATATCAGTCATCTCAATAAATATGAATTCAGTGAATTTTACTAGAACACGACAGGCTATGGTCACTAGTGTTGTTTATTTCCCTGAAAGGAGCAGAATCATGCAAAAATTGTTAGATATAAGGGCAGATTTTGATACTAAAATTTTAAATATTAGAGTGGCTTTATAATTTTCTTAAGTATTTTAAAACATGATTAATATTTACCTAGACAGTGTGATTTGAAGCTAACCAGAGATGAAAATATATTTGATTATTTCTTCACATTTCTTATTCCATAATTCTATGATCATTGACTATAAACCTAATGTAAACAAAGCAGAAAAAGTTTGGCACTGAGTACTCAAGCTTTCCTCTTTGCACTGCTTAATCCAAACAGAATATCCAGCAAATAAGTCTAGTTGTTTCTTTTTAAATATAATAAAACTCAGGATATTAATGTGAACTAACTTACTCAGGGTGAAAATAGTAAAGATGATAACAAGTGGTATTTTCTAATATTTTAAAATTCATTTATACTAGCTTTATCCCAACCTTTTAAACAATAGTGAGATACTTTTCTTTTTTTAAAGATATGGATGTAATGAGACCATTGATAAATGAGCAGAATTTTGATGGGACATCAGATGAAGAACATGAGCAAGAGCTCCTACCTGTTCAGAAGCATTACCGACTTGATGATCAAGAGGGTATTTCGTAAGTTACGGTTTATAAGTCTCGTTTGTTTTTATGTATTTTGTAATTTTCTTCTATGGGCAAGGCATTTTACTAGATACCACAGAGATACAAAGATGAAGAAGACAGTTTTCACCTTCAAAGAGTTTTATAGTTTATTTGGGAAGGAACAAATACATTTAAATTACAGAGCGGTGTATAGTAATTATTGCAGTGAAGTTACATATGTAATGCTCTGGATCTTGAAAGAAGAGAGATCTGACTGAGAGGAACAGGAATGTTAAGAGAAGTGGCTTCTGGAATGGTTAGGAGTTAAACAGTGGAAGATCGTAAACACTATGCTGGGTGAGTAGTATGAAAGAAAGTCATGAAGGTAGGAAAGCAGTAGAGCCTTTTAGAAAAACCTTTTGGTGTTTTGTCATCATTAATAGACTTGAGCAAGTAATTTTCTATAGTAATTTAATAATTAAGCAAACTAACATCAAATTTAATTGATCAGAAGAGTACAAACAAAAAAAATTTAGGCAAACATTTTTGTTTCATAAGTTTTAATTTTTTGCTTTTGTTCCTAGTTTCAGTTTATGTTTTGGTCAAGAGACCGCCTTCAAATGCCTTTTAGAAACTATTCTTAGGTCAAATCCCTTTGGGAATTCATGATATCTAAAACTAATTAATATATTTCTTACCTGATGATACATGTAGCTTTAAGACTTATATGTTTTTTATTTTAATGAGCTTCCTCTTAGTTTGATAACCATAAATCAAATATGTTTAGTACCATGATTACATAGACAGTGTCAATAAATTGCTCTGTCTTATTAGCCTGATTTTCAACATTTTTCTGAAAATCATAGCAATAAAGTA